ATTTTGTTCCTGCATTATTTTCCTGAATTCTTCCATTTTTTTGGTCTGTATTTTCCATGAATTTGTCTATTTTTTCCTCATGTTTGTCAGCTTTTTGCCTCAGCTCTTGGAGAATTCTGACTATTAGAGATTTGAATTCCGTATCAGGTTGTTCTACTGCATTTTCTTCCACTGTAGAGTCATCTGGTGTTTTAATTTGGACACCTACTGGAACCATCCTGTCCTGTTTTTGTAAATGTTTTGATATGGTCTGCTGTCTTCAGGGCATTCAGTGGTTATTTTTCTCGTTTATTGATTGTAGATTTGTTTGTTTCGTCCCCTTTTTTTAAAAAAAAAAATTGACTATGTCTGAGCAGGCGGACTGTGTGTTCTTTGTTGTTAGCTTGTCTGTGGGCAGAATACTTTTCTCCTTCTCCAGTTGGCAGGGTCAGTCACTCAGATATGGTATGGTAGGGCAGGTCTAGCTGAAGAGGAGTTACTGGGATGGGTTGTTTGTGGCACTTACTACAGGCACCAGAGCGGCTCCCTAATCAATGCAGGACAGGTTCCAGTGGGCCGTGCCTGTGCTGCTTGGTGGTGTGATGTCAAGCGTCCGGTGCAGGTAGGCAGGATGCAGCGGGGAGATTGTTATGTGTGGAGCTAAGATAGATATGGGAGAGAGGAGAGAGGAGAGAGGAATGGGAGCCAAAAACATACAAACAAAGATAAAAGAGTGCTAGGGGAGTTTGCCGTTGGAGTGGAGAGATGAGAGACTATGAAATGGAGAAAAATAGAAAGAGGAAGAGGAAGAAAAGAATGAATAAATAAAAATTGAAAAGGTTAAAGAACCATGAAGTTCCCAGGGATTTCACCGGTGCTGCTATGAGGTCTGGGGAAGTCGCTCTCAGGTGTTGCAGTACAGCCTGGCTAGAAGGCATAGAGGTATTCAGTGCCAGGTATTCAGGGAACGGAAAAAGAAGGAAGACAGAGAGAGATGAGAAACTGAGCAATGGAGAAAGACAAAAAAGGAAAAAGAGGGAAAACAAAACAAAACAAATTAAAAAAAAAAAAAGAACAAGAAAGGCCCCCCAAAAAAACAGGAAAGAAAAAAAAACCCCAACGAAAAAAGAAATGACCTCAGGGATCCCTCTGCATGTGTGTGCAAGCCGAGGCGGGTAGTGCCCTTGCCACGCAGCACTGCCTGGCCCGAAAGGGCTCCCAGCTCAAGAAAAGGAGAAGAAAGCAAACAGTTCAAAGGAAAGAAACGAACAAAAGTCCCGGGATCCCACCAGCGCCGCAGCCCAGACCAGGAAGCAGCTCCACACTCGAACGGAGCTCCACAGCCCCTCAGGAAGAAGTAAAGATGGCGCAGGGAGCCAGGTATTTGAGCGAAAGGAGGGGGAGGTGGTGAGAGGTAAGGAAGAAATCAAAAGAAGCGGAAAAAAGCAGCAACACCAGCAGCCAACAAATGGCACTCAGAGAGCTGGCCCGTTCGGGTGTGTGGAATCCAAGCAGCCAGTGATTCCCGGTCAAGAGATTGTGGCCACGGGAAGCAGAGGAGGCAGAGTGGGGGCGAAGAAGGGTGGGGGGTGGGAAAGTGTATATCACAAATTACTGGTTGTTTTATCTCCCGCTGGACTCTCTGTGAGGCTGCTTTCTCGTAGCCCCTGTTTGCTGGTCTCCGACAAGAGTCCAAGATGGTGGATCCGCGCTGTATTAGCTGGTAGGGGACCTCTGCATGAATCTCTCCTCACTCTCCGTTCTCTGTCAGTTTTCTCACTCCGTTTGGTCCTTGGCTGAGTTCTTTATCTCTTCATTTGATGTTTTAGGGTTTCAGGATTGTTGTATTCTCTGTTCGGCTTAGTTTTTCAGATCTTTGCTGTGGAGGGACGGCATGGTGCCTCTGCCTAGGGCACCATTTTGCCAGAACTCTCGAAGAATATTTTTAATATTGTTGTCATTGTAAAAGAATTAAACCAAAAAAAGAAAAAACCAAACCTGTTGGCCGTCAAGTGGATTCTGACTCATAGCAACCCTATAGGACAGAGTAGAACTGCCCCATAGGGTTTCCAAGGAGTGCCTTTTGGTTAGCAGCCATAGCTCTTAACCACTACGCCACCACCATGGTCTCCTGTATAAGAATTATTGCTTTATTAAAGGCAGTTTGGAAAATATAGAAAAAAAGTAAAAGGGAAAACAAAGTTTTACCACCCAAATACAACCAGTAACTTCTTAGTATATTTCCTTTTTCCCCTACCACATAGATGTAATTGTGTCATAAGTATTTTTGTATTTTGCTCTTTCCTTAGTAATAAGATACTGGGAATATTTTCAAGCTATACAGTCTTTGTAAAACAAACAGACCTGTTTTAATAGTTACATAACATTTTATTGAGTGAATCATATTTACCAGTTGTTAAACTTTTGGGTAATCAGCTTTCCAATGTTCTAAATTACACTCCAGTGAGCTACTTTATATTTAAAGCTTTTTCAGAATTTATTGTTATTTAGTAAGGGTAAAGTTCGAAAGCTGAATTGCCAAGTTAGAAGCTGTAAACATTTTTAAGACCCGAAGATTGTTTTTATTGATAGATATTATTGGAAAAAAGTAGGAGGTATTACTCTTCTGTCTTTTATAGTGATTATATCAGTTACTTTTTCTTTATGCTCTGGATTATAGCTCACACTTCTCTCTGTAATCCCCCCCTTTTTTTTGTCTTGCATGATTGAGGTCAAACTGGAATTTTACCTTTTTGGTATATTAATGTTTGGTGCTCAAATTTGTTCTGGATTATGTATTCCTTCCTTTTTTTGTAAATGTTCTCCTAAAATATGAGGTTATTACAGAGTTTCTGTGTAGGCTGTGGTGGTCTCTTGGAATGCTTTTTAAGTGCTAGAATCTTTTAGCTTTAGGGAAAGCTGAAGAGGAGACCCTGTCTGGCTCTTCTGTTGTCAAGTCTCGCTGTTTTTTCCTTTAGTGATATTATTTTTCAGGTACATTTCTTAAACTGTGCTTATAACTGTGGAGATGGTTGTAAACATCTGTTACTTAGACTATTTTAGCAGGGTGCAGGGTCGCACTTCAGCTGGCTTCTTTCTAGCTTTGAAAATTCTTTTCACCGTAACAAACGTATTTCTTAGGCTGTAATGGACTCTTAACCTGCTGCTTTTGGGAACACTTTTCTTTTTTTCCTAAACATTAGTCTGTAGAGAAAACTTCAGGAATCCCACAACATGAGGCTCTAAGTTTGTAACTTATAAATTGAATATTGTATCCTAAGTAATTATTTAGGAGTGCTGGTGGTGCGGTGGTTAAACTGCTTGAGTGCTAATCAGAAGATCAGTCAGCCTCTCCGAGGGAGGAAGATGTGGCAGTCTGCTTCCATCAAGATTTAAAGCCTTGGCACACGTGGTCCCATGCTGTAGAAGGAAGTAGAGATAGAAAAGAAAGTACAAATTGTATTGTTTTGATCCTAATCACACGGATTAATCAAATCCAAGCAATAAAAGTATTATTAAAGCCCATATTGTAACAACCAAATTTATGAGGGTCAGCAACAATCAAGAATAGTCAAGATGGGAGATAGCACAGTCAAGATGGCCATTCTTGACTTCCATGTTAGGAAAATTGTTGAAACAGCTTCACTCTGCCAAGCCACTAACCACCACCACTCCTCCCACCCCACCCCAGGCTAAGAGAGTGGCAGGCATTGTTCTGGCTGGTAAAACTGGCTGAACTAAATATGGTAGAGTCAGGTTAAGAAAGAGAGAGAGAATGTGTTTATGTGTATCTGTAAAAGACATAGAGATAGAAACAGAGAGTTATGAATGTAGAGATAACAAGTGGAAACAGAGACCCAAGATAGGTAGCAAGACACACTTGGAGAGATAGCATGCATATGGGACAGAGATGGAGAGAAAGAGAAGGCTTTACTGTGTTGATGCTCACAAGTCAAAGCCCACCAGGAACACACTGCTAGTTGAACAAAATTATTGGTCTTTGTAAAAGAGAGGGGCAAATACCATGTGGAACTTTGGGGGCATTACCCTTATTACAACAAGTATCAATAAACCCAACTTTATTTGGGAAAAAAAAAAAAAAGATTTACAGCCTTGGAAACCCTATAGGGCAGTTCTCTGCCCTGTACTTTGAGTCAGAATCGACTCGAGGGCAGTTGGGTGGGAAGTAATTATTTTATGCATGAGATTGTTTTGGGCTTTAACATATCTTAAATTAAAATTGTCTATTTTTTGTTAAAGAAAATATTTAAATAATATCATAGCATGAGATTTCAAATGCCTGTTTACTCCAGGACTTGATTTATCTGAACACGGGTGGAGAACCTAGTCATGTTCCCTTTAGCACCATCAAGCTTCATCTTATCTGTGCTGTATCCGGAGCTCTCATGGTATAGAGATGCTGGCAAATTGTGTATAATTATATGTCTAGTTTCATGTGTATGTATTTTATAATTGTATCTATATTTTATTTATTTAAGATCTGGACGTTGGTAGTTGGCTATGTGTTGACTGTTTCATTCAAGTGGAATGCAAGTACTGAACGCTACTTGAGAGCAGTTTCAATTCCTGTCTGGATTATATTGCTTTTTCATTTAGGTGGGTCACTTTTTAAAAGTCTGGCTTAATGTCAGCAGAGGCTGACCATGTGAATGAAAGTTAATTCTTTGTAGTATTATATGTTTCATTTAGATTTCTTTAAAATAATCTTTAGAAAATGTTATGCTTTAATCTTTCATTAATCTTTAATGAAAATGTTATGCTTAAAATGTGTGTCTTAATTATATTACATGTTCATTTTCAAAAGGTCCTTTAAAATCAAAGATAATCTTGAAAATTAGAGCACACTTGGACTATCATGGTCATTTCTGAGTGTCATACTTAAGGAGGATATAGACAAGCAGTTGAGGATGACAAGAGGTACTCACAATTACATTTGAGAAACGGTTAAAGGAACCAGAGAAGATGTTTACTCTGGATAAGAGAAGGAGTCTAGGCCTACAGGGCAGGAAGAAGGTAGAGATGAGGAGGATATAAATGAAAACTCATTTCTAATATTTGAATGAATATCTTGTGAAAGAGTGGTTTAAATAGATCTGTGTAACCATGAGGGATAGATGTTAGAGCAATGAGTACCTTTCAGGGAGATAAATCTCTGGTTCAGTGTAAGGATGATCAGTGCAAAGCCGTACAGAGTAGCGAATTTCCTGTTATTTGAGATGCTTATTGTCAGCTAGGATATGGTAGAGTTATTTTCAGCATGATACATATATTGGGATTCTTTTATCTCCAAGTCTGAGGCGTTAAGTTTTAATTTAAAAACAAAATTCAATAACCTAGAGCTATAGATAACCTATTAAAAGCAGTTTTTAGAGCTACTTACTGTTTAAAATAAAAAAGCAGAATTGATTGAGGAAATGTCTGTGCTTCGAGTCTGATGTTGAACAAAGCATTCCTCCCGAACTTTACTGACTTGAAGTACTAGAGAAGGTTAGCAGTAAGATCGCCTAATGTCTGATGTAACTCATTTTGAATTTGGGGAAGAGAAGGAAGGCAGACAGATATGCCTACGAGGCTCTAGACGAACTCGGGGAAATTCAAATGGATAGGGACCTATTCCTTGGCCACCTGTTAACATTTTCACATTACACACTTAGGAGGAGGCAGTGAATCTTTTTGTTGTGTCCTTTTAGACAGTTCTGCCCTTATTTGAGAGATTTATCTCACACCCAATGATACTTTCAGAAAATTAAGTCCATGATGCTGGTCAATCTGGGGTGAAATGGGTGGTTTGAGTTTGGGATGGTCTTAAACCCTGCATGTGCTTTAGAATTTACTTGATTCCTCAGGTGATAGAACCCATTAAAGGTGGGCTGGCACATGCACAGTCCTTTAGACCACACGGGCCTCTGAGAGAGGGACTGGACCTAACTGCTAGAAGCCCTGAATCTAGTCTTAACATTTGGCAGCATTTTTTTGCCCCCTCTGTGAAACAATTTTGTTGTTACATAGACACCAAATCGTTCTGTCAACCTACTAAACTGAAAAATGTTAACTTTTAATAATTTGCAGCATCCTTGGCTGGCTCCTGGAGAATTCCAGTATTCCTGGTTATTGTTTTCCTCATGTCTGTGGGCACCCTCTATGAAAAACAGAATGGAAAAGAGTCTTCTGGTAAGAAATAGGGCATTTTATTAATATTACTCTAAGAAGTATTTTGGAGAGTAGCTTTATAAAAAAACAACAACAAAAAAACAGCAATGATATGATGAAATGGCTTAAGTTTATTTAGAAATAATTTGTTTAAAATATTTTGGGTTAAACTACATACTTTTTTGTAAAATTTTATAACAAAATTAACCATTAATTTAAAATACACAATTTAGTGAAATTTAGTACATTCACAGTGTTGTGGAACCATCACCACTACCTAGTTCTAAAACATTTTCATCAGTTCAAAAGGAAACCTCATTCCCCTCTTCTTCCAGTTCCTGGCAAACACTAGTTGGCTTTCTGTTTTTATGGATTTACCTATTCTGAATGTTTCATGTAAATAGAATCATACAATATATGACCTTTTGTGTTTGACTTCTTTAACTTAGCATAATGTTATCAGGGTTCATCCAAGTTATAGCATGGATCAGTGCTTCATTCTTGTTTATGGCTGAACAGTAGGGCATTGTATGAATATACCACATTTTGTTTATCCATTCATTCTTTGATGAACATTTGAGTTGTTTCCACCTTTTGGCTATTGTAAATAGTGCTGCTGTGAACATTTGTATAAAAGTATTTGTTTGAATACTCATTTTCAGTTCTGTTGAGTATGTAATTACGAGTGGAATTGTTGGGTCATATGGTAATTCTTGATTTGACATTTTTAAGGAACCACCAAACTGTTTTCCATAGTAGCTGTACCATTTTACATTCTTTTTCTTTTTTAAATAATATTTTATTGAATTTTTGGTTCAAGTTTATGCAGCAAGTTAGGCTCTCATTTGACAATTTCCATACAATTGTTCAGTGACATTAGTTACGTTTATCGCAGTATGTGAAGATTCTGTGTTTTGTTTGTTCCCTTTCCAGTATTCTACTTTCCCTGTCCCTTATCTTCTCATCTTTGCTTTTGAGAAATTGTTGACCTTTTGGTCTCATACACATGGTTTTTAAGTAGGTCACCCATCTTACGGTTGATACCCTTTTTTCTGTGTGCCACTCTGCTGTTTCAGTAAAAGGTGATCTCGGGATAGGCTTGGTTCTAGGTTTAAAGAGTGTCTCAGGGCAGTAGTCAGGGAGTCCTCCGTTCTCTATTGTTCTAGTTTGTCTGGCTTTTTTTGTTTTAAAGAGTTTGAGCTCTGCTTCATATTTTTCTCCCATTCTATGCGGGACCAACTGTTGTGGCCCTGATCAGAAAGGTCAGTGGTGGTAGGTGGGCACCATCTAATTCTGGTCTCAGGGGGGATGAGTTTGTGGCTTTTGTAGACTTGTTTCTTCTCTGCACTTTTGGCTGCCTTGTTACTGTTTTCCTCCTGGCGAGTTGAGACCTGTAGTTGTGTTTTAGATGGCCATTTGTAAGCTTTTACCACCCCAGGTGCTACTCACTTCACTAGGATGCAGATTATGATTTTTGTGAATTGTGGTATGCCAGTTAATTGAGTTGCCCCATGAGACTATGGTCCTAAGCCTTCAAACCCAGAAAGTCAATGTTGGGAGGTGTTTGGTTGTGACTGAGGAGTATCCATATTTGTGCCTTCAGTGAGTATATGTGCCTGTACCCACATACTTGTATTTACCCGTACCTATGGATACTTCTGTCTGTTCTCACCTATGTATGCATGTGTATCTACTCATATTCCAGTTTGCCTGTACCCATCCATATGTGCTCAAATGCTTGTTATTACTTTGGTTATGCTGTGCTCACTACATCTACAATTGGTGCCACTTTTCCCATCACAAATATAATTAGGCTTTACTGTATAAAGCTTTCTTTCCCAACCCCACCCCCCCACCCCCTTTCTGGTAACCACCAAAGAACGTTGGTCTCTCTATTTTTGTCTTCTGTTAAAAGAGGAATACGGTGCGATTAATCACTTTTGTATGTGGCCTTTATAGCCGTGGACTTGTAACTCCCACCAAGATGATTATGTGGTAGGGTAATTGTGACTACCAAAGGAATTGGTCAGTTTTACCTTGAAAGAGAGCCAATTCCAGAGCAGAGGGGAGGAGCCCATCATCACCAAAGAAGGAGAGACTTGGAAACAGGAGATGACATGGTGGGCTTCCTGGCCCATGGAAAGAGAAAGCTGAGTGCTTTTGGGCAGAGACTGAGGACCAGGAAGAGGTGTGCCAGTGAGCACGGCTGGGAAGAAGCTGTCCTGATCAAAGAACTGTATCCTGAGTGTTCCTGAGCCTGAATTGTAACCATTACTTCCCTAATAAACCCCATAATTGTGAGCGTGGTCTGTGAGTTCTGTGTGGCCATTGCAACGAATAATCAAATCCAGCGGAGAAATAGAGAGTGCTGTGGAAAAGACAGTTGGCGTCAGAATTGGTCAAGATGGTTGAGAGAGGAGGCTTGTCTGGCCTGTGCCTCATGGGAGTCAGCCTTGTGCGTATCTGGTTCTCCGTCCCCCTTGTAGAATTGGAGAAGGTCAAACACCTCCCCCACGCCGTTTTTAGAAGGGATTGTACAGTATTTTTCCTTATATGCTTGACTACTTCACTTAGCGTTATGGCCTCCGAGTCCATCCATGTTATTATGTTTCACAGACTCATCATTGTTCTTTATGGTTGCGTGGTATTCCATTGTATGTGTGTACCACAGTTTGCTTATCCATTCTTCCGTTGATGGACACTTTGGTTTTTTCCATTTATTTGCCATTGTGAATAAAGCAGCAATGAACATAGGTGTGCATATGTCTGTTCGTGTCATTATTTGTAGGTCTCTAGGGTATATACTTATGAGAGGATTACTGAGTTATAGTGTAGTTCTGTTTCTAGTTTTTTGAGAAAGTGCCATACCGTTTTCCATAGTGGTTGTACCATTTTACCGTCCTGCCAGCAGTGGATAAGGGTTCCAGTCTCCCCACATCCTGGCCAACATTTTTTGTTAATCTGTTTTGTTTTTTTTTTTTTTTTCGTTATCAGTGCCATTTTAGCCAGGGTAGGATAGGGTAGCTATGAGTTGGAATCGGCAGTAGGTTTTTAAGATGGTATCTCATTATAGTTCTGATTTGTATCTCTATAATGGCTAATGGGAGCCCTGACTGCATGGTCGTTAAGTAATACAGCTGCTAACCAAAAGGTCTGCGGTTCAAATCCACCAGTCACTCCTTGGAAACCCGAAGGGGCAGTTCTACTCTGTCTTCTAGGGTCACTGTGAATCGGAATTGACTCAGTGGCAGTGGGTTTGGTTTGGGTTTTTAATGGCTAATGATCGTGAACACCTTTTCATAACGTTTGTTGGCTGCTTGGATGTCCTCTTCGGTGAAGGTTCTGTTCATGTCCTTTGCCCATTTTGTGATTGGGTGGTTTGTCTTTTTGTTAAATTTGTTTCAGTTTTCTATAGATTTTAGAGATTAGACCCTTATTGGATAAATTGTTTCTGAAGATTTTTTTCTTAGTCGGTAGGTTGTTTACTAGAGTATTGATGAGCATAAGTTTTTAATTTTTAAGTGGTCCCATTTATCTATTTGTCTTCTATTTGTGCATTTGTTGTAATTCTTGTTATCCTAAAAGATTAGGTCCCATAGTTTTCTTCCTTTGTTGTCTTCCAGAAGTTTTATGGTTTTAGATTTAACATTTAGGCCTTTGATCCATTTTGAGTTAGTTTTTGTGTATGATGTGAGGTATGGGTCCTGTTTCATTTTTCTTCAGATGTATATCCAGTTTTATCACACCATTTATTAAAGAGACAGTTACTGCTCCACTGAATGGACTTTGACCCGTTGTAGAAAATCAGTTGCCATAGATGGATGGGTTTAATTCTGGGTTCTCGATTCTGTACCACTGGTCTATGTGTCTGTCATTAAACCAATACCAGGCTGTTTTGATTACAGTGGCTGTATAGTTTATTTTGATATCAGGGAGTATGAGACCTCTCACTTTGTTATTTTTCTTTAGTATTGTTCTGGTTGTTCAGGGTTTCTTTCCTTTCCATACGAAGTTGGTCAATACTTTTTCCATTTCAGTAAAGAATGTTGTTGGGATTTGTATTGGGACTGTGTTGAATCTGTAGATTGCTTTAGATAGTACTGACATTTTTACTACATTGTCTTCCAATCCATGAGCACAGGATGTTTTTCCATTTTTGTAGGTCTCCTTTAGTTTCTTGTAGGAATGTTTTATAATTTTTATTGTGTCTTTTATGTTTCTGGTTAGGTTAATTCCTAGGTATTTTATCATTTTGGGAGTTACCGTAAATGGTATAGTTTTCTTGATTTCTTTTTCGGAGTATTCTTTGTTAGTGTAGAGGAACTCAACTGATTTTTGTGTGATGATCTTATACCCTGCAATGTTTCTAAGTTCTTCTATTAGTTCCAGCAGTTTTCACATGGAATCTTGAGGGTCTTCTATATATAGGATCATGTCATCTGCAAATAAAGATAGTGTTACTTCTTCCTTTCCAATTTGGATACCCTTTATTTCTCTTTCTTGTCTTATTGCTCTGGCTAGGACTTCCAGTACAGTGTTGTGTAAGAGTGGTGATAATGGGCATCCTTGTCTCATTCTTCTCAAAAGGAAGGCTCTCAACCTTTCTCCATTGAGTTAATGTTGGCTGTTGATTTTGCATATATGTCCTTAATTATGTTGAGAAATTTCCCGTCTATTCCTATTTTGCTGAGAGTTTTTATCAGAAAAGGGTGTTGAATTTTATCAAATGCCTTTCCATATCAGTTGATATGATCATATGATTCTTTTCCTTTTATTTATGTGGTGGATTACATTGCTTGATTTTGTAACGTTGAACCATCCTTGTAAATCTTGGTATGAATCCCACTTGATCATGGTGTATGATTTTTTTTTATCCATTACTATAGTCTGTTGGCTAGAATTTTGTTGAAAAATTTTGCATCTATGCTCTTTAGGTGTATTGGTCTATAATTGTCTTTTTTTGGTTAAATGTCTTTTCCTAATTTAGGTATCAGGGTTATGCTGGCTTCATAGAAAGAGTT